AGTAAATATGATGTCTGTAGTAAATCATTTAGTAAGAAAAACCTAGTAAATATGATGTCTGTAGTAAATCATTTAGTATGAGAAACCTAATAAATATGATATCTGTAGTAAATCATTTAGTATGAGAAACCTAATAAATATGATGTTTAAGGTAAATCATATAATAAGAAAAACCTAGTAAATATGATGTCTGAAGTAAATCATTTAATAAGAGAAACCTAATAAATATGATGTCTGTAGTAAATCATTTAGTAAGAGAAACCTAATAAATATGATGTTTGTAGTAAATCATTTAGTATGAGAAACCTAATAAATATGATGTTTATAGTAAATCATTTACTAAGAAAAAACCTAGTAAATATGATGTCTGTAGTAAATCATTTAGTATGAGAAACCTAATAAATATGATATCTGTAGTAAATCATTTAGTATGAGAAACCTAATAAATATGATGTTTAAGGTAAATCATATAATAAGAAAAACCTAGTAAATATGATGTCTGTAGTAAATCATTTAATAAGAGAAACCTAATAAATATGATGTCTGTAGTAAATCATTTAGTAAGAGAAACCTAATAAATATGATGTCTGTAGTAAATCATTTAGTAAGAGAAACCTAATAAATATGATATCTGTAGTAAATCATTTAGTAAGAAAAAACCTAGTAAATATGATGTCTGTAGTAAATCATTTAGTATGAGAAACCTAATAAATATGATGTCTGTAGTAAATCATTTAATAAGAAAAACCTAGTAAATATGATGTCTGTAGTAAATCATTTAGTATGAGAAACCTAATAAATATGATGTTCATAGTAAATCATTTAGTAAGAGAAACCAAAAGACACTATTCTTAAATTCAATAGTGCTCTGAAGAAAAGCACCATCAAGAAATACCATATTTCAAAAATAAAAACTGCTGATATTTGAGACAATGAAACCTGATATGAGAGTTTCTAGAGAAGTATAACTCACAGTGGTTACCTGACACCTACTACCTCTACCGACCCCCGACTGAGATCTCATGTCAGGTCACTGATAGTAAGATAAGGATGATGTCTATTGAGTTATAGGATCATTAACAAGATAAAGGAAGAGATAAGGTGTCAGAAGAAAACCTTGGCTAACATCTTAATACTATATATAGACACAGCTTTATTGAACAACAATCACTGGTTAAAGCATTAATGTATATATAGTTTGCCCATCACTTCTTCTCATTATGTGCCTGAGGACGACGAGGGAAACACGTCGAAACGTTGCATAAAACTTTAACCAGTGATTGTTATTCCATAAAGCTGTGTCTATATATCGTACTCACAATTGCTAAATGCCATTCAAAGACTACCATGTTATATAGGTTAATTGACTATTTGATTTACTGAGTAATTAAATATAACAAAATATCTTGAGCTGTATTTATATTGAATTACAAACCACAGAATAAAAATTCATTTCAGAACAAATTATACAGGCAAAAAAATCACCAGGCATATATATCATATTGATTCAAAGAATGTTTGAGTGAAAGCAATCAGTAAAAGTTAAGCAATATCATTCCTATATCTACAAATGAATTCTTTTAAAACATACAAAACACTACTTAAAGGGACAGGTAGGCCATATTTTTGACCAATCATAGTTTAGTCTGAGACACTGGAATTTTTTCAGCTGAGCTTATCAGTGTTCATAGTAGTTCAAAATTGAATGTTAAAATGACAACTCATCAATTTAAAATACTCTGTGATATATTGAAAAGACATATATAGAAATAGTGAGTAAAATTTCTAGTTTGAAGTATTTTTAAAGGAATTATGTGATTTTCGTACATTTGTAGTACTATTATTTACATATATTTAAGACTAAAATCAACACCCAAATGGCACACCTGTCCCTTTAATGCGAATGAAATGAAAAAGCTGCACCCTTCCAACAGGTATAGGTTAAAGAATATTAAAGATTTAATTTAAGACACCAATCATAGGCATTCTGAAACATCCTTATCCATGGAGTGAAAACTAACTTTTCTTTCATTACGCTCGGCATCCACGGACACTGCCAAGACAGGAAACATCTTTCAGGGTGTGGCATAATAGCCAGATGGCGTCCATTTTCAGAGCAAACAGCAGCAATGGCATCAGGTGAACCATTAGGATTAAAAGGATAAATTTGAGTATTTTGGCCGTCATCATCAATGTAACGTACTGGAGCAAGATTCTTGGATAATATCTGTTGATGGAGTTCAGGAGTTTTAAAACACATCTTACCTAAAAAAGAAAAGTAAAATAAATTTTCAACAAATATTTGGTTAAATGATATCATCACTTTTGCCAATCACATTTTTCTTTAATTGGGTACAAACTCAATACTTAATTTTAATCTGAAAAGCAAATATTTAAATGACTATACAGATGACTATAAGATGTAACAGCGAGAAAAAGGCAAAAATATTCCTTCAGAAACTATCCTTACAAAAGAAAATGACGCTAGAAAATGGTGCCCACATAGATAGGTGAAGAGAGATAACTGATGGAAAAATTTTCATAACTACGGTAATTAGGGTTTTGGAGTATTGCAAATAAGTTAATTCATACATGTGTAATCTACCGTTTTTGTATGTTGTCCACCGATCTACCGACGGGATGGCCAATTCTACTGATTTTATGTTATTTTTTTTATTTTCCAAAACAAATTTCCAAAACTAACTGTTAGATGCAGGTAGGTACAGATATTGAGATAAGACAATGATGTACTTTATAATGTAATATTTGAAAACAAGCTATTCCTCATACCTTCCCCGTGTGATACCCACATACCAAACATTGTCCCTTCCATATCTTTTAACATTACTGAGTTATTGTCTTGTATCTTAACCGTAACATAACGTGATTCATAACGTTCAGATGTATTATGATCCAGCAAGAGACCCTGAGATAGGTCAGAATTATCTGAAACAATTCAAACAATAAGATAACAACAGATAACCTCACAAATCAGGTCCTATCCATTCCACAAAGTACAATAAAACAGGCGAGGGGTAGGGTTTTCCTTTCTCCTACAACTCCATACCTTAAGCCTACCCCTGACTGAATTTTGGTACCATGTGGGTGACAGGGACAATACAAAGAAATCGTACAATATCCGACACTGTCTTGAGTGACTTTTTAAATATAGTATAAGTAATAATTAGCACACTTTAAGTCTATTTTGTGTAGCTTCTATTACTTACAAATAAAGTGGAATGCTCATGTTTATGTTCTGATACTATTCATAATGAATCAGAGAAGAATAAGGAACAAAACATCTTGATTGAATATCATTGAAATCAGAATAAGATTCTAACCTGCAGCCCCAACCCAGCCTAACAATGCCATTAACTGACATCCATTACACACTCCTAGACTGAACGTATCAGGACGATTATAGAATCTGGTAAACTCTTCCTTTATATAACTATTAAACTTAGCTGTAGCAGCCCAACCTGTAATAATATATAATAAATGATTTACAACAAACATCACTTTATATAACTATTAAACTTAGCTGTAGCAGCCCAACCTGTAATAATATATAATAAATGATTTACAACAAACATCACTTTATATAACTATTAAACTTAGCTGTAGCAGCCCAACCTGTAATAATATATAATAAATTTACAACATACTTCACAACTTTAAGCCCTACTTTCTGCTCTAGTCATGGAATATGCAGTGTTCAATGAGGGAAATTTTGCAGGCAAAACCTACTCTCCTTTGATATACAACTGTCAAAGGATATCTAATGTGCACAACCTTAAGCTCTCATGGCCTCAGCTAATTGTTCCCTATGAAAGACAAGATATACACTACAAATACAACTTTAAACATTATCAAACTAAAAAACTGGATTTAAGCTAATAAATTTCTTAATATTTTTAGATTTTGAAGATTTGTAAAAGAAATCATTTTCTTACCTTTAGCTGATCCACAGACATCTGCGTAGCTAAATCCACCCACAAACGCCAAACCTTGAAATCTGTCCAGGGTAACGACTTGATCGATTAAATCCTGCATGTTGACATCCCATACTTCAAATCCTACAGAGTGGAATGCGGCCGCCATTTCTCTATCTCCATTGCTCCCTTCTTCTCTGAGTACAGCAACTCTTGGTTTATTTTCTACAATATCAAAATAATGTTAGCTATGTGCACTCTCTGTCATGTTGGACATAAATTTCTAACAGATTATTACTTCTAATAAAAAATACAATTCAGAAAACATGTGATGGAATATTTTAACGTTATTGGGTTTTAATGATATCAGTGATAGATGGTTGAGGAAGGACACAAATCTGTTAAAAACTTTAGTTTGGTGAGCGAATGCCAGCTGACATCAGACCTGACCTACCTCACGTTTAGAAAACAATTTACTTCAACCGACAGAAATGTGGGTGTACAAAAATCAAACTAACTCTGTCTTATATTTCGCGTAAAGCAGACAAGAAAGTCACAGTAAAGTTTGTTGTGAGAAACTGTAAAAATGAATCAATACAAGTCTCACCTATATTTGGTGTAAGACAGACAGGATCAAAGGTTAGTTTATATGGAGGAGATTTTCTGTGTTTTAACCCTTCTTGCTCAGTCTCGACACAGCCAGGGTTAGTCTGGTATCTCTCCAGTTGAAAACTTGTCTCTTCCCAGATATCTCTTAATATTGTCATCTCTTCATTTATAACTTCTCTATCATTCATCTTTACTGTGATCTGTAATTGAACTGAAAGCTCAGATTGAGGTCAAGTCTGTTGTAAGTGTAGTGATAAATAAACAATGCTGGGGTCCAATTTAAACTTATAATATAAATAATAATAATAACTTATTTTACTTGGGACAGAATTAGGTCCATTACCGGTACACCAAAAGTGTATAACAATGAAATATATAGCTTCAGTCAGTGAGAATCAACCATCTTATGTCTAACATTCAATCCATGGGGACAATACAATAAATAACCACAAAAAAATAAATAAATTGTTGGTCTTTGTCAGTCAAAACCAAATATCTTACGTGTTTATCCTGAGTAGAATAACCAATATTATAACAAGTTATATTGGCGGTAGAAAATCTATTTATAACCTCTTCACAATTATCTGATGAACACTCTAAAATAACCCCTGGTTCTTCATTGAATAACACTGATAGGTCACTTTCTAAAAGACACAAATTGGATTTTTACAACTTTATTAATAAATTAGAGAGAAGACCCTTCATCCCTAGGTAGGTCAATTTCTACCTTGCCAAAACTCTAAATTAACAGCATGAAAGTTTTTATCATAAAAACAAATGATCATCTGAGATGACTTGAGTGGAAAACAATCTAAGGTTAGGAAAAGGAGTAATATTGGTGAAAGCAACTAACTAAAGAACATTCTTTTATGAATAAAGTATTGGGGAAAATTCTAGCCACATAACAATAGAAACTAAGAGTTCACATCGCGTTTTTTTTTTTTTACTCTCACTTCATGACTATTTTACATCATTTTACATAATAATTACAGATATTATCTCTAAATGTCATTTACAAGTAGATAGAACATTAAAAAAATAAAAACACTATTATAGATATACTACTCCTTTCTTTAATTTTTGCAATTCCTGTATGTGAATTGAAACGTTGCTAGAATTAAAGTAAGGAATAGTATATCTATAATAGTGTTTTTATTTATTTAATTACAGATAGGTTATAAGTAAGTCTGATCAGAGCAACAACGACCAGAACATGCAGTTTTCATTAGGGTTGCGCCCGTTGACTGAAATGGTCTAAGACAATAACCTACTATTTCTAGAATATTCAGACAACAATATAAACATTGAAATTGTCAGAACTATTCCCCAAGTAATGTTTTAACAATAAAAGATAACCTGCAGTAAGAAAGAAGTTGTACCTGATGTAGTAAGAGGAAGATTAACCTGAGTTCCACAGTTACCACTAAACATCATCTCTAATAGACACGTTATAAACCCTCCATCACTAATATCATGTCCTGCTGTTATTAACTTATCTACAAAATAAACCATTATTAGATCAACCTTAGCTTAGATATTTGACCTCTCTAATCCAAATATTAAAAACATTGTTATCTATGTAGATTCTATTAAAGGAATGCCAAATATCAAAAACATTGTTATCTATGTAGATTCTATTAAAGGAATGCCAAATATCAAAAACATTGTTATCTATGTAGATTCTATTAAAGGAATGCCAAATATCAAAAACATTATTATAGATATATTAGGTATGTCAACTCTCTGAAAGGGATCTGGAATAATAAAAACAAATCAAGAAACAATATTAGGCATGTGGACTCAGTAAATTGGTTTATTGTGCAACCTGCATCAGTGACAGGAGGAACAAGGTTAAAAATCAAGACTCTTGATTTAAGAGTTACAAGATCTATGCCAAGAACATATTTTAGAGCCCTAGGTTAAAGTAAATGTCTGATTGACTGAGTCAACAAGGCTCCCAATCTTTCTCAAATACAAACCTCATCTAGTTTAACTTTCAAACATAAAACTCCAGGTGCAGACGTGTCTCAGATATAATACCCTAGCTAGTTTTCGCTATGGATATCAAACATTCAAACAAAAGACTTGAGGCATTCACGCTCACCTACCTTTCAATAAAGACTGTACAATGTTAAAGACAGATACCAGTTCCTGTGGGTTATCTAAATCAGGGGCAGTAACTCCAATCTGTTTGTAACACTGAGCGAGAGCTGTTCCTCCCAGTCGATAGAGATCTTTATTTAACTTAACATACAGTAAACAACCTAAAAATTGATCACAGTGAAAGTGTCAATAAAAAATATTTTACTTGGCATCAGGTGTTCGAGACCAGGTGTGTGTAATCTGCCTTCCAAACAACACCCACTGCATTTTGTTTATCTAAATGTTTCGGAGTCTAAAGCTGTTAGGCTGAACCTGCTAATTGGGACAAACAGATCCCTTTTGGAAAAATATTGTACGCAAGATTAACAAATATTATGGAATCAGCTAAACTTTTTCGATTGGTAAGATATCTGTGAGTCCGATTTTGAAAGAGATAATGTGTTTACCATTAAAGAAAATGATATAAATATAAAAAAATATAAAAATAACACAAACCTCGGCCTCCTGGTAGTTTACAGTCTGGCGTTACAGTGGCTGTGATATCAATACACGGGACATATACAGATATAACTAGTGTACCTGTAATATAATACATAGTTTACAGTCTGGTGTTACTCTGATATCAATATACAGGACATATACAGATATAACTAGTGTACCTGTAATATAATACATAGTTTACAGTCTGGTGTTACTGTGATATCAATACACGGGACATATACAGATATAACTAGTGTACCTGTAATATAATACATAGTTTACAGTCTGGTGTTACTGTGATATCAATACACAGGACATATACAGATATAACTAGTGTACCTGTAATATAATACATACATAGTTTACAGTCTGGTGTTACTGTGATATCAATACACAGGACATATACAGATATAACTAGTGTACCTGTAATATAATACATAGTTTACAGTCTGGTGTTACTGTGATATCAATACACAGGACATATACAGATATAACTAGTGTACCTGTAATATAATACATAGTTTACAGTCTGGTGTTACTGTGATATCAATACACAGGACATATACAGATATAACTAGTGTACCTGTAATATAATACATAGTTTACAGTCTGGTGTTACTGTGATATCAATATACAGGACATATACAGATATAACTAGTGTACCTGTAATATAATACATAGTTTACAGTCTGGTGTTACTCTGATATCAATACACAGGACATATACAGATATAACTAGTGTACCTGTAATATAATACATAGTTTACAGTCTGGTGTTACTCTGATATCAATACACATGACATATACAGATATAACTAGTGTACCTGTAATATAATACATAGTTTACAGTCTAACATATACATAATTGTAAATCAGAGAAGCCACATGCTTCAAAGTATATACAGGACTGAATCAAATCCCTAGAAATATTACAACCTATCTTTCTGCATCTAATTGGGCAATACCATGCTGTGCAATCAGGGAACTTTGGGCCAGGCCTATTCATTTTTGCTGCCAACTAACAGTTGGAAACTTTGAGGTCATATCCAATTTATACCAACATTGAACCTTGAATCTTTAAGTTTCCGAGCAAACCTCAAACTCCCAGAGGCACCACGGCTACCAGATTTCTAGGTTAGCTAGCAACTTGGTATAGATCAGAATAAGAAATCCTACCTGGTGCTTTAATGGTTTCCCCACCAACTCTAGCTGCCATACTCAATGAATCTTTTCCACCATCCACAGCTATACCGAGCTCCTTCATCACCTGACACATTGCCTGGCAAGCTATATATAGATTTACTCCCTCTCCTGGTAATTTAGCTGGCCACATCCAGTTACCACTACATTTTACATCCTACAAATGACAGAATACATCCCATTAACAGCTGTAACATCCATTACATTAACACAATGCTTAAATTCTCTATTACATTATACACAGACATACCAAGTTGAAGGAGCTACAGTATTCTTAAAGGGATAGTAAAGAGGTTTTCTAAACTTTTTATGTATATCAGGGACACTGATAGCATCAATTTGCATTTTGACGTCTCTGTCTCTTGCAATTCCACTGAAACTAAGGCGTTTTCTGACATCACTAGACTGTGCATAGATATTAATAGTAGCGTCCAGTTGCTCCCCTCTAGTGACGTCATAAAACGCCTTAGTTTTAGCGGAATTGCAAGAACCTCTTTATAATCCCTTAAACATTGGCCAAGGAAGACAACTCTGTGTTACTGAGCGACAAAAGGTATGTCAGACTGATAGTCTAATAGTAAAACTTAATTTAATTGCAATAGCCACATTTCTTGTATCACAGAAGTTTTGCAGGGATTTAGTTTGATTGTACGCTACCAAATACAACGTAGGTGTTAATAATATTGATCCCTACAGAGATTTGGGCAAGATAAATTTTTAAAAATTGAGTTGTCAGAGAAGCTGTTGATTTGTATAGTAAATGCAGCAACACATTCTTAAAAGTGCCATATTTGATCATATGATGAAGGCAACTTTACAATTATACACCTATAATTTTGACAGGAGTTTAAATGGGTCTGACATTAAGAGATAATACATCATAGAGGAAATGTTAATCCTACCTTCAAATCAGTAATTCTAGCAAACATGAGGTTAGTTAGAGCTTCATTGACAGACATCCGAGCTCCGATAGCAGGGTCTATCAGTCCCTTGATTGGCTGTTCTCCTATTGCAGTGGCAGATCCAACCTACAACACATACAAAACATTACAAGCCTTTAAAGAGATAGTAAAGAGATTTTCTCTAAACTGCTATGTGTATCAGGGAAACCATTATGATAGCTTCTTCATATAAAAGGCTTAGTTGAATAGAATTTCAAGACTCACTGATCTGACTAAAAATTGGAAAGGTGCAAACCAATAACAATACATACACATAAAAAGTTTAGAAAAAACTCTTTACAATCTCTTTAAATAATCAATACAAGAGCCCTTACCTACAAAATACATAGAAATAAAACATGCAGTCCTTATAATACTTTAAGTTAGATACTGCTTAAAACTTTCCATTACATCAACCCATATAACCCAATAACTTAACGAAATGAAAGTACAATACCTTGTCAAAATAAGAAGATGCAGTGACTGCTACATCAGCTAATGGTGTATGTAATGGACCAACACATTGCTGCTGGGCTATCAGACCAGTAACTGATCTATCAACCTAAAAAATGAAGAGAATAATAATAATAATAATGCATTTACATATAGCGCCTTTCTGCTAGAAAATGTTGACTAAATGGCGCGGAGTTGCTCTGTCATATCTGGTATTCACTGGTAAGTAAGTGTTTCTTTAGACAAGTTTTGAATATGTCCATTGAATTTGCATCTATAACATTAGGTAGATTATTCCATAGAACAGGTGCTGCAGCTAAAAAACCACAATCACCACAGTATGTTCATGAAGTTTTTACTGAGTTTAGAAAGCCTGAAAAAGAGAAATGTCCGAAGAGAAAATCAGTAGAAGATTATAAGATATATAGTGCTTCTTAATCCTGTCCCTTACACCCTAGAGTTAACAGGTTATTACTGAATTTGAATTTACCTGCAGCTTTCTTTAATAACTAATATAGATTATTACAAATTGGCGCATTTCAAAATATTTCCATGTGCATACAAACCTTATTAGTAAGATATCGTTTACTGGCTACAGTAGGCAGACGGAGGACACGATTCAAGGCCTCTGATATAGTCACGCTGTCTGGTAGAGTGATGGTCTTTAATACAGGTTTTACTGTCTTTAAATTAAATTCCTACAATCAAATAGAACTTGTAAATGGAATGAAATAGAATTTTATGTCAAACTAGTGGTTATAAAGATGGGCGACACCATGCAAGTTATTTTGTCAGACAACAGTCTGGTCAGTCTGGTCAACAGGAAACAGCATGGAGTTTTGACAAGTGAGCAAAAAAGTTATAAATATTTTCAGTCCCCACAAATCCAAGAATATTTTAAATAAGAAGAGGTACACTTTACAACGTTCTGTATCTTAGACGGCTAATATTAAGGAGTTAGAAGAATGTATAAAAGTTTTTCTAACATGATTAAACATACAACTCTAGTGAAAAGGAGTTTTACATCCCATACTTAAAACAAATCTTTTTTTCAACCTTCTTACCTTTCGTGGCATTTTTCCCAGAACACATTCTAAATCTAAATCATAAGGCAGCTTTTCATCGTTTATTTCATCTGTTAACATTGGACAGTCTCCTTTCTCATCTATCTTACCATGAATTTTAAAATCTTCTAATTGCATCTACAAACAACTTTATAGAATGTTTATTTATTTCTAATGTTTAAAATTATATTGATAGTGACATTCAATATAGCACTCTCTACTGTGGCAGGTGTGGCATGTGAGGCTCAGCATTCTCATTCTTTTAGAACACCTGATACAACTCACAGGGACCTGTATTATACTGTTGTAAAAATTGAAAAACAAAAATTTTGACCGATATGCAATAAGAAGATATATTACGTATCATGTTTCAACAAACAGTATGATACAGGCCCCTGTGACGTAACTCTGCCCAATCTGAGGATACAAATATCAAAAACTTTAAATTCCTTTCAAAGAGTTCACAAAGATAATAATGGTGTTTTCATACATCCTACCACTTAGAGCATGTATCTTAAATCTCATTTACAGCATCTTCCATTCCCTTTCTAAATGACACAATGTGAAAAAAACAAAAGTTAGAATTGGACCTACCCTGCCAGTTCCAGTAACAGTACCAACAAAATTAACAGGACATCTTTCTCGGTGGCTGAGTTTCTTCAAAACACTGGAATCATCGGGTCTAACCAGCACAGCATCGCTTTCCTGGTACTCTGCCCCCCAGACCTCTAGTAGGCTCAGTGTAGGGTCACCCAGTTGGAACCGGTCAGGTTTTATTACAGCCCCTAATGGCTCTACGATTTCCTTTAATACATTACCTAGCAACAAAAAATACAGTAAACAAGATTTGATTTTCTTAATATATGACAAACATAATGTATGCTTAACTCTTAGAACACTGAGTGCAAAAAACCTAACAAAAATGCCGCTTTAAAGTCCACTCAGCTATATCACGTAATTATACGGTCTAAGAAAGGGTTTAAGATATATATGACAGTTGATACTATTAGTCATTGTATCTATTTACAGTTGTCTGATACTTATACAGAGTTATCTATTCTTGAGTGTAGTTGGCTCTTCCCTAGAAAATCATGTTGTTTAAAGAATTTCTTGTCACTTAAAACATGCAGCAATGATTATAAGTGTATTCATATTTTACTTCAAATAAACACCAAAACTATGGCCTACCGTTTCCGCCAGCACCTTGGTCATGTATACTACAAATAGGGTTTTTATTCTTCATCTCAATACAGGCCCTGATGATACGATTCAACTTCTGTTCCATCTCGGCATCACCTCTCTGTACAGCACCGTAATCTAACTCTGCCTTGTTGTCACCCTGGACCTCCACTGATGAGGCAGCCCCTCCCCCTAGACCTATACGATACACTGGTCCTCCTATCTTCACTACCTCCATACCTAACACAAAATAACAGATTCCATGTAGTTTGTGGGGGTTCCCTGTCTTTTTTATGCACCAAAGCATCCATCTGTCTAGAAGTCTGTACGTCAAAAGAAAGATAACACATACGTTTAACGCACATATGGAATCATATTTGACGAATGACGGATCTGCAAGGGCCATTGATGTCTGCATGACGCGTATATGGAATCTTAGCTTTAGTTAGCTAAAACAGAATTAAAATCCAATAACATACAATATAGAGATCACATTGCTTTCACACTGAATACAGCCCATATGTTATTTAACAGGAAAACCCAATTTTTCTTGGGTAAATCTAAATGGTTTTCTGGACATTATGAATAGAACCCAACAATCATAAATACCAGACTTCAACAGACTGCTAAAACTCTCACAATTTCTTATATTAACTGATATTTTAACTTTATAGAGGTTATATATGTTCTTTATTCAGAGACTAGTTTTTATTAAAATATTATTTCAAATAATTGAGAAATACCATTCCTGTTTCTTTGGACTTCCCCACAAAAACTACAGTATCATGTTTTCTTATAAGGCTTCCCAACGATGAAAGTTCTCCATTTACCAAGCCCAAGATTTTTTTCAAAACATCACAGAGAACAACACTCATTTCCCCCTCCCCTCATTTCCAGATAAACATCTAAAATATACCTTTTTCAGGGCTCTGTTTTAATATATGTTCTCCATTCAGCATACCCAGTCCTCCACTGAACATGATAGGCTTTACATATTCTCGTCGTTCACCATCCGATAATACTTGACCGAACGATCGTGCGAATCCTGTCAGTACAGGCTCGCCAAACTTATTACCATAATCGGAGGCTCCATTGCTGGCTTCTACAGCTATTTCTAGAGGTGAGGCGAAATTACTAGGATACGCTACATCTTCTTCCCATGGTTGTTTATAACCTGAATAATTTTTATTATACTAGATTTTCACTTTCTCTGATTAATAAATACAATAGGGAACAGATGTAGAGAGAGCTTATAATTGTCTTTGAAAATGTTCCTTAATTTTCTTCGCTTCATTTTCATGTTATGAATTGTTAAAAGCAAATTTACTTATTTCAAACCATTTTGTTTCAACATATCGTCAAGATTTGCCGAGATCTCAAGGAAAACATAGTTATCACTAGCCATGTTATGTTGATTCTTCAAACGAGATGCAAAGTCAACAAAATGTGTCTGGGTAGACCAAGGAACTGCGGTCCAATCTTCACGCTCTGACAGATGATTCTGATGGATTTGTGGCCATTGTGAGGTCAAATTGTACTATTTTCACCATCAGACTTCAGCCAAATTGTAAGCAGTTGTCACTGATAGGCATTCTGAGAAGCTATTCAAACATGACTGGTATAAAGCCAGCTAACATGACCCCTACCTGGTATTTGAAGATTTCCGAACGAGTACCCAGCAGTTCCAGCCAGAACGTGAGCCCCACGACCAGTTGCATGTACATCACGAATCCTTCCACCAGTACCAGTGGTAGCACCAGGGAAAGGGGCAACTCCTGAATAAAAAAAACCATGAAAACTTTTTTAATCTTAAAGTAGGAAGATGGCATAGCAGGAAACTCTGAGTAACAACAACATGTCTTTTTAGGCTCTGTTTTAATATTTCTAATCTAAGATTATGTTATTGTGTATTATGCTGTTTTCGATACTTCTTTTGATTACCATGTTCACAGACTCAAAGTTGTGATTTTCTGATTTCCGAGTCCCTCTTATTACTACTGTAGAAAGTCGTGAAAATAAAGAACAATTGTTTAGGAAATTTTCAACATTTCTAAGACCTTAGCCTTGACCCTGCATAAAAATGGTAGCAACGTAAAATGTAGTACATTGCAAAAAAACTGTGCCACCCCTTCTTTCCCCACCCCCCTGTATTAATTAAAGACGTACCAGTAGGGAAGTTGTGTGTTTCAGCAGTAAATATAATATGTTGTGTACGATCGTGTTCTGTTTTCATTCTACTAACTTCACCTGGCGTCTCTGGTGTTAAAACTCTTACACTGTGACCCACAATTCCACTGAAAGGTAAAACTATTAGTAAGATAAGCCTGATCATCTTTTGAGATGTAATAATAAAAAAAAATTCCCTCACAAACTTGGCCCAATGTCTCTTACATGTAAGGCTGGTAAAATAATTAAAATAATGGAATATAAGTACAAAGGTTTTATAATTTCCATTATCGATTATCAAATTTGGTTATTGATCAAATATTCAAGGTACATTCCTCCCAAGTAACCATTGTCAGTCATGTACTACTAGTAGTAATCTCTTCCATAGAGATTCTCTTGAGCACAATAAACTGTAATAACCGATCAAAGCGATTATTATTCAAATGATTAAACTTCTATTACACAAAACTGGAATTAAAAACTTGGACATGATTTTTATATAGTAGTTAGATGGTTTCTTAAATAAAATATTTCGATAATTAATCGATTATTGATCAGAAGCCTTCCTAAGATAATCAAACTCAATTTGGTAAATCAATACCCAGCTGTAATTACCTGCTGTTATCGTTAAATTTTATGATATTGTTGGGATTACTGGAATTCTGAGTGTCCATAATCATAGAAAACAGAGATTCTTCATTGTGTTCCATCTTACCATCAATATTTAACTTGCCTTTAAAAAACCAGTGACGACTGTGTTCACTGTAATAATAAAAACAAGTTTGAAAAGGTATGATAATAAGAGATTTCAACATTTTTAACAGAAATTCTATGTGCTCACTATAAATGTCAAATTTAAAGATCCTACAGAATAGAAATAATAGTGTTTTCAGGGCTATTGATTTATCTGTATTTACCAGTCATGTCTGATGGGAGCTCCAAAATGATCTTTAGTACATTTTCTATGCAAATGTGCAGCATTTTTTTCATTCCTTATGCATTCTCAATGAAAAATTGTACAAGAGCTTGTTAACATGTCTGAATTAGAGATTCTAGAATCAACAGCCCTAGTCGAAACAATTTTATATTCCAGTGATTTGTACCAATCTTCTTTTTGAATACAGCAAGCGATGCGGTATCAACAGATAGCATAACAATTTACAGGTACAAAGACTGTGAAAGGTTGGGGAAAGGTTTGGGACTGAAATAGTATTTGTACCTGTTGGACTGAGCTAGATCAAAACATTCCACACTAGTAGGATTTCTTTTGATTTGATTCGTAAATAAATTAGTATAGTAATCTAGATCCCAATCATCGAACGCTAGACCTGGAAATAAACAGAGATATTATAATATTATCATCAAACACTAGACCTGGAAATAAACAGAGATATTATAATATTATCATCAAACGCTAGACCTGGAAATAAACAGAGATATTATAATATTATCATCAAACGCTAGACCTAGAAATAAACAGAGATATTATAATATTATCAATAAACACTAGACCTAGAAATAAACAGAGATATTATAATATAATCATCAAACACTAGACCTAGAAATAAACAGAGATATTATAATATTATCAATAAACACTAGACCTGGAAATAAACAGAGGTATTATAATATTATTATCAAACACTAGACCTAGAAATAAACAGAGATATAATAATATAATCATCAAACACTAGACCTAGAAATAAACAGAGATATAATAATATTATCATCAAACACTAGACCTAGAAATAAACAGAGATATAATAATATAATCATCAAACACTAGACCTAGAAATAAACAGAGATATTATAATATTATCATCAAAATCCAACACTAGACCTAGAAATAAACAGAGATATTATAATATAATCATCAAACACTAGACCTAGAAATAAACAGAGATATTATAATATTATCAATAAACACTAGACCTGGAAATAAACAGAGATAAAATATTATCATCAAATGCTAGACCTGGTAATAAACAGAGATATTATAATATTATCATCAAACACTAGACCTGGAAATAAACAGAGATATTATAATATTATCATCACCATAACAACAGAATTGAGGCCATTGTCCTGTTAGATTAATCTAAAACAGCTTCGAAACTAAGATGACATTGTATAAAGTAAATGTGCAAATAGACAAGTATGGTATCCTATTTCTTTAACAAATACATACTTGTATAGGAAATTGTATTAAATCTTTTTAATTTTTTTAATCAAATTACAGTAAAATGCAACGTTCTTCAATACCTAACTCTTTATTCACTTTCTCTAAAGCTGTTCTTCCACATCCCATGACATCAACTTCAAATATCGGATCCGATCGAACATCTAGGTCAAAACTTTTTAAAGGTACATAGTATCTACACTGAGTCATTTTATCATGTAGTAGGTGAACAATTTTCGAGATGACGATCTCCGTTGGTAGCTGATTATTTTTAAACGTTAAAATATAACGTGTGGAGTATTCTATTCGGGTGATGGATTTCAAACCAACAGACCGACAGATTGAGATGGCGTTAGTGGAAAATGGCGTGGAAAAATTAAGTCTGAAAAATACAAAATAAGTTGGTTTGTGTTGTAAGTTAAGTAGGACATGAAAACATTTGGGCATTTGGAGTAAGAAACAGCATTGAGTGGCTCTCATTCATAGGGGCCCACACTACCTATCTGAATGTCAAAGGATTAAAGCCATATTTTCAAAGAATTTGATAAGAGAAAAAGCATTTGAATAAATATTAGTTGTAAAATTTTGGATGATTGGATCAGCCTGAGATCCCCTGACAACATGTAGTTGTACCATCCCTCTGTCAGGTCATGTTCATAGTCAGCAAAAATATAAGTACAGGCTAGGTATATAAATCACCAAGTTAGAACTAGTTAATTTCCTACAACTACCTTGGTCCTATTTCAACAGCAAGATGATGATTATTTTCGACAATAATTTGAGGTTGTGATGTAAAGTTACTCTCTTGGAATGGAGTTGACAGTATCCATGATAATTTTTTTACATCTTCATCTTTCAGATCTAAAAGTAATAGGGATTCATGACAAATTAGCAATTCTTAAACTTGTAAACAGATATTGGCAAGAGCTGATTTCATGTTAGGTACATGTGTTCCTCATCAGTGGCGGAGGCAAAGGGGGGACAGCGGGGGCAGCACCCCCCCCCCCCACCCCCCTCGCAGCCACAAAGGAAGTTTTTCAGGCAAAAATCTCATGACTAGGTTGGAGATTCGGGCAATCTCAGATATCTCACCCCCTCTTGGACGTAAACCTGGCTCCGCCACTGTTCCTAATATATTATCCTCTAAAAGGTAGACGGTTTTTGAAATGGAGGTTAACAGATCACATTAAATAAAATAAAGTAAAGCAATGTTATAATATAGTACCAGATTTAATATACCATAATACTGTGTTATTGATATTACTATATTCAATAATGACTATGGGCAATATGGTCTCAATCAAAATAACACTAGAAAATACGAAATTGAAATTTTACGGCTCACCTTCTGTTGCCTGTATATAGAAGCAAAGTTCAGTCTGTAGAGACTGTATGGTATGATTTATTTGACTGTTGAGTTTGGTCAATAAATTCTCTGTCTTGTTTTCACTGATTCCTGGTGTTTTATAATATCTCTTCAGACCTCCCATTCTGTTTTAATTTTGTATCAAACAACAGGTGTCTGAAATAAAATTTTACGGTTCATTCACATCCTATGATTTTATAGAATCCAAATGTACCTTAAAGTATGATAGGGCCTAAGACTCTAATTTCAAACTACGTTGTCATGACATCCATATGTTTGTAGATGACCTGTTAATGTCCAGTAGATGACCATGTTGGAATAGGCCTAGGCTAGATTAGAAGCACATATTATGTCATTTAAAGATATCAGCTGAGTTTTACCAATCATACTTCTTAAATTTGGAGAGCAATCTGTTTTTTTTTTATCGAAATGTCAAGTCCAATTATCAAGGCATTAATACGGATGACCTTTACTCAAGGTCGTTATCTAACTATTCCCGCCAAATAATAGCAACACGAGGTTTCCATTTTCAATATTGATCAAGAAATCTTGAGGAAATTTCAAGATCGAATGTGCCATGGGCAGAAGTTTTTGGCAGTGCTGAATCTTGACAACGAAGTAGCTAATCATGCCATGATAAAATATATCTGAGCATAGCTAATCATAAACAAATATCGTAAATATTTTGTAAATTTGATGATAAAATTGACAGATAACAACAAACCCACGTGTTCTTTCTCAAAAGTAGGCGGAGCAGATGTTTCGATTTTCCAGTCTTTAACTTCCGCCTAAATCTAGACTAAGATTTCATTTTGATGTGAGTTCAAATTTTTTTAACACTATTTTTCCGTTTTGTAACACATCAATGTCCAAAATATATTTCATTGCAATGTTTTATTATATGTTCTTATATAGAGACTTGTAAGATTTTTTTAAAAATTTATGGATTAAAAATTTAAATCCATTTACACATTTTACATTTAACCTTTTAGAAAGGGGAGGTAACTTTTTTGTTTTGGAAGGAAATCCAAATCTGAAAAATGTCATTTCTTGAAAAAAGTCTACTTTTCCAAGATTTCCTTTTTGTAGCCAATTATTCAGAGGAAGGAAGTTTAAAAGTTGATGTAAGACATCTTCAAAAAACGAAAGATTCTGAAAAAGATCCGAAATGGATGCAATATGACACAATTTCCCTTGCTTTGAATTTGTCGCAGTCAAATCTATCAACGATAAGGGGCCCAGTTTTACTGTTTGAAAATGTTGAAGATAGTCTCTCGGGGATAGTGCGACCCACTTTGTTGATTCATTTTTGTGGGGATTCTCTGAGACAATCATTTGCCTATATCTTAGTGCTCATTAAAGACAAAACATCAAGTGATCATGAAAAGTGCACATGGAAGATTAAGCCAATTAAAAAACTCAAAACAACTTTAGATAAAGACCCCAAAAACTTAAATTTTGTGAATCAATGCAGTTTTATTTACTCCCGAAATGAACGGTTGTATTTTTGTGATGAAGAAGGGGAACATACGATTTCTTTTACTAAAGACAAAAACGTTCAGAACATTATTTGCATGGCATCTAAAAAATGCCAAGGAACAAGTATTTTGCTTGGAGCGAGTGCCTTTTTGGATGACAAAAATATTTCAGATGATCAAGATTTGCAATATAGAATATTTGCATTGAAAAAGCCTAAATTCTGTAAAAATGAGAAACTGTTTGAAGTTTTAGACCCTACTTTATTTTTGTCTGATGATTATGCTTCTTGTATTACACGAATCTATATCCATTTTGTTGAAGAGATTTGCCATAATGTTATAAATACACATGGACAGGTAGAAAAGCATCCTTCAACATATCAATCGCATATTTTCTTGATTCTCAATCATGGGTATTTACTCGAATTTGCAAACGGTCGACTGAAGACGTCGTTGTATCTAGTGAATATTTATCGCGAGCTAAACATCTTGGAATATAACGAAGATGACAATAGTTTGAACTTTGATATTTCCTCCTCTATTATCAGAGCTGCCATAGATTTGGATAAGAATAGAAAGATGATAATTTTACAACATGATAAAGTTTGTATTGCTGTTGATACACAGACAGAGAAGGTTGGTTTAGAATATGATTATGTCTTTTTCACTGTTTTCAAGGATATAGTAACATTTAGGAATTAGGGCGTGAAAACTGACACTGGTCTAACTCACTGCCCCCGGCACAGATGTCAGAATTGGGGATTCAAACTGTACCTAATGGCTAGCAGACAGCAAACTTGCTACTGACTGAACTATTCTACTTCCACATGACTTTTATGCAATTTTTAAGGGATTGTGAAATGGTTTGCTGAGATCTTGATGATGTATATTGGTATTGATTTGCACTATTCTAATTTTCAGTGAGACATAAATAGCCACAATACACATAAACAAAAGTAAGAAATTTTCTTTACCTCTTTAAGTTGAGTTTAGTTCTATATTTCAGGTTCACCAGTATTGGCAAGATATTAACTATGTTTTAATAGATGATGTTTTAAAGAAAGGAAGAGATCAGTTGTTACTTGTCAGTCATCCTCAATGGTATCTGACTGATTTTAACACAGTGTATATAGACTATCTCAATGATGAGCCTGATCCTATGATGTGTGAAGATGATGGTGATAACTCAGCGACTGCTAGAAATGCTCTTCAACAGCAATTGACTGTGAGTTTGATTCCAAAGTGATTTTCAATCCTTTGAAAAATTTAAAGGCAACATGGGTTTGAATATCACAGCCAGTGCTTGTGAAGGTCGGATTCAATCCCTACCCCAGTTTATAAGCGATGTTTTTCCTGTCAGTTTTGAGATTATTATCTAAAAAAAATAGCCCATGGTACTGAAATTTCAGCCAAATCTTTCATATTTTTGGTCAAGATTAAATAGATCATCTGTATTTTTTGTGCCACTAGAGAATGAGTTTATCAGTAGAACAAGCTGAGAGAAGATTGAAAGAGAAGATAGAGTTTGTACAGTCTAATTTATCAAGATTACAGAAAACGGCTTCCAAACCTCGGTCTTTACTAGGGGTAAAGATATTACTTCTTAAATAATTATTTATTTGTTGGTAGCTAGAGTTATTCCCCTTTAGTCTTCAAAAACATAGAATTCGTACATTCTCATTTATCACAATTTATTGAAAACAACATTTCAAAACAGTTATCTACCTTTTGTCTTCAGCTGTTCAGTCTTGTACAAAAAACAGCCACAAGACCTTGTTTCCTATATGTGCTAATTTTTATGTAGAATATTAAGTAGCAATCTCCAGTTGGTAACAAGAGTTATTTCCTTGAGTCTTCAACACTATAGTAATTGTAGAGACTATAGTATTCATGCTTGAAGACTACTGACTTTCTCAATAACATGCAGTCGATCAATATCATCTACACCAGTCTGTTCTTCCAGTAGCAAGAGTTATCTCCCTTTAGTCTTCAACACTATAGTAATTGTAGAGACTAAAGTATTCATGCTTGCAGACTACTGAAACTCCAGTTTCTCAATAACATGCAGTCGTTCAATATCAACACCATTTTGTTCAAGAGTTATTCCCCTTTAGTCTTCAGCAATACAGAATTTGTACAGTTTATTCAGTTAGTCAAGTATTTTTTTAAATCATTAACTGACATTTATTTATGATTGTCTTGTATTTTCAGAATCCAGGTATAAATGAGAAAAACAAGGAGATATTTAAGGTGGAAATAAAAAAGAAATGGTATAAAGTAATTAATGATTGTTTAGTTATTGGTCTTCACGTTATCAACACATCTTCACAGTAGGTGCATTGTAGGTTCCTTGCTTCCGTCTAATCATAAACAGCTCTAGATAGATTTTAGTCCGAAACATCTGCCTCTATTCCAGCTTCTGATGGGTATTTTGACAGTTGGAGTAGAGTCAGAAGAAAAAGACCCTGTTAAATGGGGATTTTCCACAACTCCAAAGATGCGTTTTCTCTAACATAATATTAAAATAAGTATCACGTGACTCTGTGTCCTTTAAACTTTTGGCTGCGCACACAGTTTTAAATGGCCGATGCTAGATCAATTTCACCAACAAAAAATTTGAAGGAACTGGAGACATGGTGTAGGGAGAAAATGATGGTATGACTGAACTACAACAATATTCATCTTTCCAATATACCTGGGTTTTATAGACCCTATTTATCTAAAAAGGTTTAAAACTCCATTTAACAGTGCCTATTTTTCTGTCTCTACACCAGCAAATAGCTATCAGAGGCTGTAATAGAGACAGATGTTTCGGTCTAGATAGATTTATTCATTTATTTTCTGTGAGATTTTTCAGCAATTCTAGTTCTGACAACATGGTTATTGACCAATAAAATGATATTTTAGTCTGCAGCTTGGCTTTGATTCTCTGACAAACTTCGTCTTAGTTTGAAATGATTATTTTAATGTAATAAACTATTTTGTCTCATTTAAGCTCCATATCCAACCTTTCTTTATCCATAACCTGTGGAGATTCATTCAATATTTTCAAATCTTCTTCAAAACAATTTGACAATGATACTATCAACTCTACTAGAAGCTCTGCAACTTCCAAAAGCACTGAACAACAAACACTGAAGAAAATAAAACTCTTGGTTCCAGGGGATCAATGTTCTGATGGCACCCTAGCCCCTAAAGATGAAACTGTTTTGACAGGATATTTTGAAATTTCACAATTATCAGACGCAATTAAAGGGCAGGTAACTCTGTCTCTATATCTGCATTTTTCACCCTGGGAAAAGGAAGATGTAAAAGAATTTTGTATTCAAAATGGTGGAAAAATTCAGATGAATTTTAAAGAATTTTTTGATAATTCTTTCACTGAATCCATAGTAACAATTCCAACTTTTGATAAAAATTCAGGTAAACTTAAATTTTAACTCATTTGACTGAAATCTGTATATCCACCAACTAAAAATGTGAAAAATAAATGATTTTAGAAGGTTTTTTTTAACCCTACATTACTGCTTGAAACAAATCCAATTGATTTCGATTTTGATTTACTCATGATAGCCATTTTGTATTCTAGGACAGAACTTACATCATGGCTTACTGTGTTTAAACACCATTCAACACTGTTTTAAACTGGTTTTACATACCAAATACGGTTACATTAATCTGATAGCTGATTGGTTGAAGAAGATTCCTGGTTTAGTTTACTATGAATATTATAATTGTTATATGTTTACTCTGTCTGGAGCACTGTATTTATGTAGAATGGAAGTTGATCTGAAATCAGATTTTAAACATGTACAGGTTAAACTTTATGCAAGGTATGGACACTAAGAATGACTTGTTAATGACCACTCCAAACAAACAATTTCCTGTAATCATGTGACCCAAGCAAACCCAGTGTCACGAAACCTCTATTTTTTTGTGGTACATACTTATTTTACCTTGGCTTTTCAAAATAAAATAGGCTACACCCCAAGCTACCATGCATCTTACCATGGGCCTGTTTCAGAAGAATTTAAATTAATTGAATTATTGAATTTCAAGTCATCTGATTGGTTAATCATTAAAGTAGTTTTTAACTTAACCAATCAAACTACTATATTTCTTGATTAATTAGTTCTTAAGTTTTTGTGAAACAGACCCCTGACATATTTCTATATTTTCTCTATTTACAGGAGCAGGAAGCAATTCGAGTTATTTAAGAACTTTATTTCATCTTATCTACCACAGAACGTGTCATATAAACTAACAGCCAATCAGAATCAAGAGTTTTTGATTCAAAAATTCCTGACATGTGCGTCTGAGGAGATTAAAACTGGACTAGAATTCAGCCAATTGTCTCACAACCCTGTTAAAGACGATGGCATCTTTGAAGTCGATTTCCATAAGCAAGAAAATGTATTTAAATTCCACGCTGCTTTTGATAAAGAAAAGAAAGAACTGTGTCAGGCCAAACAGACGGCCATGTTTTTAGAAAGTGATAAAGGCACGCTGAAGAAGTTAAAAGATTGTGAGAAGGAGACAGATTCCATTGTTGAAAAAATAGGAATAAAAAATATATGATATATCTCATATTTTGTGGGTATTTTGAGGCTTTTAGAGTAATCACCCTTACTTATTCCCTGTGTGGGCACCCCTGATGTTCTTTTTTCTTCAGTCAGTGGTATTTCTGTGGGTTGGATGGAGGAAGAGGGGGGTGTCACCTACATTTTCCTCCACCCCCTCACTTTCAAACTTCATTTTAAGGATTGACTGGTGTTCTGCCCCTGTTGACAGTTCTGTAGCCCTTGCTTCCACTCCTTTCCCACCCACCAAATGAGTCATGGCCCCATTTTATTTGTTCAAAATTTGACTGAACACAATGTAATGAAGAATTCGGTTAGATCATAGATGATAAGAGTCATCTGCAGGAAAAGTACAAAGCGAAACATCTTGCATTTAAATCTTGCATAAATAGTGAGAAAGTAACTCAGTTAAATCTCTAGTGTTGAATAGTAACTGTTACCTCACAACCAAAATATCCATTAATGTTATATATATAGAAAATATAATAGAAGTCCACAGAAATCGTGTGGTTCTATACACACTTATTATTCTTAGACTGGTGAGAAAATAAAACCAGGTTTAACTTCTATACTACATCATCGCCCATCCCCGGTTCTCAACTTCAACTTGGAAACCGCGGTGGCTCAGTGAGTTAGACGCTTGCTCGCTAACCTGAAGGTCCAGGGTTCAATCTCGACATAGGTCGAGATGATACCTTGGGATTTTTCAACCCTGTTTCCCCCTGTCAGTGATGCAGGTAAGAGGGGCTGACATGGAAAAACCGTCTAGTCGTTCGGATGGGACAATAAACCGAGGCTCCGTGTGCTACAGCTGTGCACGTTAAAGATGGAAATCAAAAAGAGCAGGCTGATGCCGCTGTCCTGGCAAAATTTCCCTCATTGCACCCTGCATGGAGTTGCCCGTCTTCAATTGCCCTCATGGTGCAGAAAAGTAGGACGTAAAACTCCTTCATTCATTTCCAATTTCAACTTATATAGTACATCATCCACCATCCCTAGTTTCCAACTTCAACTTTCGTAACAATGTTAACACTTTTATACGCCAGCCTTGTTCGAATCTGATAACTAATCGACAATCATTAAGGAGTTACAGCCCTTGATATTATGAAAATGTGTGATCAGGGCGAATATTGCTTCAAAAGTCGTGCATTGTTCGCTATTTAGCAGAATGCCCCGTTTCCATTTGTGATATAAATTGTTTAAAATTGTTCATGAAGCCTCTCGGGTATCCCTGTGGTTTTTGCCAATAGCCCCAGAGGATAGGATATTACTATCCCAGGTCGAGAGCCAACAAAAAACATTGTCTACACCCTGAAAATTATCGTTTCAATCCCTAGATCCCGTTTTCGTATCAACTGCGAATGTTCTGAATGAAAATGGAGCATCTGAAAAATGTCTTTGCCAAAAAGCCAATTTTCACAAAGTTAACGATATTATAATAACCGTAAATATTTTACAATTGGGACCAAGATGACAGTGGCAAAACAGCACTTCCTTGGCCCGTCTAGGGGCACAATGATTAGCCGGTACACCGGACGCGGTCTTTAGGAGGACCAGATGAATTCAAAAACACGTTTTTGACAAGTATTCCGAGGACTAGTAATGTGTTGCTGACTGAAAGCCATGGTTTTGGGAAGATGAAGAGCTGTGGTTTAGATTATAGTAATAGTAAAAGTTGTAGAAAATCGTGAAATGTTTAGATATAAATAATATCCAGGCCAAATGTTAACGACACGATATAGTTTATACTCGGTATGACTGGAATACCTGATGGTCTTAAAGGGACTGTGAACATTTATTTTGTGTATCGGGGATAGCGTGAATTTGCACCATTACAATTCAGTCAGACGTCCGTGGTTCCTGCAATTCCATAAAATATAAGTGTTTGATGACGTCGCGTATCGCAAACTATGCTTGTATCACATAGGCCCTTCACGAGTAGTGATGCCATCAAACACTTATTTATGGAATTGCAGGAACCACAGACGTCTGATTGAAAATTGAAATGGTACAAATTGATGCTATCAGTGGCCCCTACACACATTTTTGTTGTAGAAAATCTATTTACAGTACTTTTAATATTTCAATGAATCTCGATTTTAAAGACACCCTGGTTTTTTTAGGTTATTTTCAATAAGTCAATAACGGTCAAAATACAAGTACAAGGCAGCAAGAGTTAGTTGACAACACTGACAGAAAGATTGGCCAATTTAAAATGAAATGAATGGAGTTTTAAGTCCTTCTCTTCAGTATCTTATGGGCTAATGAATAAGGGCAACGCTGTGCGGTGGGTCAGTCAGTAATGAAATGTAGCCTAATATAAGACCATGGCAAAAACAAACTTCGAAATCAAACCAACCAATTTGAATCAACAAACTAATCTCCTGACTCAAGTTCACCAAGTTTCCTTTATCTGAGAAACTATAGAGGTACCCCATTTCACTAGAATTTTAAGCGAATTTCTTGAAGAAGCTCGAAGACAAGTCCTTATCTATCCCTAAATATAGTTTCAGTTGTCGGAAATTGCTTGCTTAAATTTTTCAAGACGGGGCTCAAGTATTTCACACTGTGTCAATCAAGACATATCCTGAGTGTAATGAGCTCTCATTTATGTGCCTAGTTTTCAGGTTGCAAAGACAAATCAACTTCACTTCTGTGTAAATAAGATTACAGGCAGCGGTCGGAAATATCCATGCGAGGCAATAGAATTATGAAAATATATCACAAATGGATCATTTTTATTAGCTGTAAGTGGACTCTCATAAATAAAATGAATTGAATGGAGTTGTGTGTCTTTCTGTTCTCCACCTTATTCGGCTAATGAAGACGGACAATACAGAAATTTTGCCAGGGCAGCGATCTATAAATAAATAAGAGGGATGAATTTAATCTTAAGGATCCACAACTACCAAACCAACAACAACCAGAAGATTGAATTAGTATGGGTTCCATCGCACGTCTCCATTCCTGGCAACGATCAAGCAGACCGTTGTGCCAAAGAAAGTCTGAGTCTGGGGGATATCGAGCCTGTAGAATACTCCTATTCGGAGTTCTGCAGTCTCGTATCTTCTAGGATCAACCAGAAATGGTCTGACATGTTACGGAACCTCGACACCGCAAGATGCCAGATTGATCCGAAGATACCAAACCAAACCAAACCAAACCATCCATGTGTAGCCATCTGCAAAGTGGCAACCAGACTCCGGACCAACAACGTACTACGAGACCATCAGTTCAACGCCATTAAATGTCGCTGCGGCCACGTTGCCACAAGGTCGCATATCCTCATTCAATGCACTGAATTGAAACCCGCTCGTAAGCCACTACTAGAGTACCTGGAAACCAACGGCATACCACTAACCATACAGAATGTTTTGGCTCCACCCACGGACCACTGGTATACGATAATGGAACTAGTCTTCCATTTTATAACCAAATCTGTCTTGAACAGATAGGCTAAGATTTTTTTTTATCAAAGTTTCTTAACACTTTTTAATTATATCCAATCACTTTAACAAGTTTCATCGCAGAAACATTAGAGAACATCTCTCCCCCCTTTTGTGAAAGCTTCCCCCCCCCCCCCCAACCCCCCCTTCTTTCCTCCATCTTTTTCTCACTTTCTTTTTTTTTCTTTTTTTTTCAGGTCTTCGAGTTTTCCAACAGATAACAGATAATCTAACCAAACCAAACCAAACCAACGACTACCATTCGACTACCAATCAACAAGAAATACCATGATCAGAACGAGTATGGAAGAATGAAGGAGACCGAGTAACTCACGCCACACCATCCAGGGCCGAGTTTCACCGCCATGTCATTCGACCCGACCAGATCTAACGAAGAATCAACAACCAAACCAACAACACCGAATCATCCAATTTGATCCAATCCAACTACCAACTACTACGACTACCAACAACTACCTAGTTTGCGATATCAGCATCCGCTGGAAGCGAACGTTAACTTGTCACCTACCAACCAACCACCAACCTTAATCTTAAGGGGGTTGGGAGAAGATATTCGCGGTCTCGCTTTCCGGTCTTTAAATATCAGTTAATCGCGACTATTCTTACCTGTACACTGGTATAATCACGACTACTAACTAGCGACATCTGGTGACAAGATTTCACGATAAAAAACAGGTGGAAGTAATTTCAACGTTTGGACTGACCGCCCCGCTATGTCTTTTACTTGGTGGAAATCACGATTTAGAACACGCCTTGGTTAGAGTATCAGACGAACCGCGCTGGAATAAACTGTGATAATGGGATTAGTGCAGATTACTTTGTTTATTTCTTTAATCCTGACTTTAATTAGCACAGGTAAGTTGTCACACCTGTAATTAGTCATTCAAGGGAGATAATAACAATAATATTTACACAGGTATTACGGTTTATTGCTTTGCGATAAAAGTTAAGAAGAGGTTTCTTAAAATACAAATATCATTTTTAAAGTCGAAGAAATTAAGAAATGTTTAATGTATTGGCAGATAATTACGTAGGGCTTAATAGAAATCACTGTTTCAAATTGAAATTCAAAACCAGACCGCAGTGATTTTTTAATTCAATTTTAGCTGTCATTTCTCAACAGTTCAAAATGTTTTTTTTTTTTTAACAAAGTAGACTCGTGTCTTAGTATGTCTTCAGATAAATAGAAATATCAGTTCAGGTAATTTCACCATTGAGAAAACAAACTTCTCTGTGAATTTGAACATGAAAATTGACCGACATATTGGACCGAAAATTCCAGTGAGTCAAATAAAATTAGAATTTTCATCCACACAAACACACTTTTTTGCTCTTGGTAATATTTTGAAGTTGATAATTGAAATATCTGTTTCTTCAAACTATTGTCAAATTAAGGTAAATTTTTTACATTAAATGTACTGTTTGTAACAATCGTTACTCTATCATTTCCAGGTTTGTGCATAAAATGTTATACCTGTTCTTCAATTCGTGATAATCGATGTGGGGATAATTTCCTAGTGCCCAATACAGAAGCTAGGGATTGTGATGGAACCTGTTACAGATATAGAGGAGAGCGTTGGGGTAAGAGCTTCTTTATCAACATCTAACCTTTGTTGTTGCAGACTTTTACATTGAGAAACAGCACACTTGGGCCAACAACTTTTCAGAGAAAGCAGGGCATCATATCAGATTAAATTAAATATTTCCACATTTATGATGAATTCTTTTCTGAAGATATTTGGAAAAACAGGGGCTATAAGTTGTGGAAACCCCCTTGATTTTTAAAATGAACTGTTCCTATCACACATACATTGTATCACACTGATAGAAAGTCTGTATGTGTGGAAGAGTTCACTTAGCTTATATTGTTTATTTGATATTTAGGTTTATCAAATCAACATTCCTTTCAGAGAGTCCACATAGCTAATATTTTTATTTGATATTTAGGTTTATCAAATCAACATTCCTTTCAGAGAGTCCACTTAGCTAATATTTTTATTTGATATTTAGGTTTATCAAATAAACATCCCTTTCAGAGAGTCCACATAGCTAATATTGTTTATTTGAAATTTGGGTTTGTCAACTCCACATCCCTTTAAGAGAGTCCACATAGCTTATGGTATTTCCTATTTACGTTATATGAAATATAAAAAGTAGGATAAGGAGAGTAGCTCGTCGGTCAGTCAAGGTGTAAAATACTCAGTGTACATCTGGTCTCTATTTATTCTGACATTTTCTTTTTGACCTTTCTACCCACTAGCAAGTATCACACCATATTATAGCAGGCAGGTGTCTGTAATTTGCCGAATATCCAAAGGAGTCTAGGACAAGAGCTAATGAAATGGAGTTTTACATCTTCCTTTCTGGGCTACCATTGACAGGGAGTGTGCAATGAGAATAATTTTCAAAAGCATTTTTCAAAGTGGTATTAGCTTACCCGAGTTACCTTGAACGCACGCCCCACAATCTGTCGCACATATTGGTCTTTGTTCATTTTCCTATCAAAGGATGACGCACACTGATATTATCAGTAGTGTAGCCTTAAATGACTAACTTATTTTTATGTCGGTCCCTGATACCTGTGTCACTAGCAGGGGAACCATTTTGGGCTAAAGTCCATATTCTTTATATGTGGTCCTTCATACAATAATACATAATCCGAATGAGGGAAAATTTCAACAGTCATTTCCCATGTAAACTCTACTAATAATATTGTTTTGTTAATTTCAGAGGGGTCTGTTCGTATAGTGGAAGTATCGCGTGGTTGTCGTCAACTATCAGAAGAATACTGTGAAGATACTCGTTATAACGGTATTAACGTCAAAGCTTGTTATTGTAATGATAATTATTGTAATTCAGGGGAAGTAATCAAATCCTCGGTAATCATCGTTCCATTGTTGTCTGTATTATATTTACTGTATTAGCGGACCTTAGATATTGTCATAGTGGGTCATCAACAGTCCCTTACCAGTTGGATCTATTTTTATACCTGTCTCAACTTTTAGAACTTTTTTCTAACATTGCTTTTTAATTAGAAGCTTTTCTAATAGTGACGTGAGAAACTCTAAGTTTTAATGGAATCGATGCTATTAAGTGCCCAGATACACGTAAAAAGTTTATAAAACCGTTAAACATGTTTAGCCTATTAAGTAGTTGAAAATAAACTAACATGACACCATGATACGGATGACAAATACATTAAAACAATGATGCTTTTGATTTTATACTGAGCAAATAATACCACTGTTGAAATATTGGTGAAATATCTAGTTATTAAAGTAATTCTTCTCTGTATTATTGTGTCAAATTAATGAAATATCAGCTAGAATTGTGAATACCTGACAGTGTTTTCTCAACATATGTATCTTTTTTTAAATTGTAGATTTTTATGTAGATAGAACCTAATATTTTGTTATATTTTTGAAATAAAAATTTAACCTGAATTTGAAAGTTTTTTGTGTCCATCACAGCTTTGGGATGAGTTCTAGTTCTTACATCTACACAATGTCAAGCTATTACAACCTTGATACTTAAACCTTGACCGCAATAGTTCTAATAGCGCCACGGAGCACTATTTTTTTTTGTTGGATTGTAGGCGCTCTACAAATGAATTATATTATTAATAGTCACCTTTTTTGTATCATTGAAGATTTTAAATAAAAGGATTTGATTGGATTTTACGCTCACGAATCCAGCCAATCAGAGGCCTAGATAGAAAGTCTGTGAACACAAAGCCATAGTGTTAAGAGTCTTTCTGTCAAGGGCTTTGATTGGCTGTATTCACTGACGTACAATCCAATCAAATCGCGGCATTCTGTGATACAAGAATGGTAGTTATCGTAAGTATGAAGTTCTACATTGATGTAGTTCTTGAGATATTAGTTGGGTCTTCATACTGTGGAATATTCTCAGAGTCTTCTCACTCCTGATCATTGAGTTCCCATACGTTGCTCATACACCTAGTCATACTGGGAAAATTTACCTATTTCCAAAACTAGCTGTCCTGATAAGGTTTTATATCTGAGACAAGTGTCAGTAGCATGAGATGAGATTTAGTCAATAAGGGATAAAAGAAAATGAAATAGAGTTTACATCCCATTTTGCTGCGCTTCATTAAGCTCAGAAAGATGGACACAAATCTCATACAACAAACAGTATCATTCCATTTGGTTTTTCATTTTATTGGTGTTAAGAGTGAAGAAGTTCCTAAAAACTTCTATATAAAGCACTGGCCAAGGTCACAAATAAAGAGATAAATGTTCAATACAAGATAAGGTGAGTTAGCATAGTTAGTATTAAGTTAAAAAAACACCCGTGCAAAGCAAAGGATGTAAAACTCCTTTAAGAAAACATAATCTATTTCATTTCAGGCAAAACAGGCAATTTATATATTAGTAATGTACAGAGTACAAATTCTTCACAATATATAAGCTGAATAATATATCATCACAACACCATATTTAACAAACAGGGGGAGTAACAATTCAATATTATCAAGTAAGCAGGGGAGATAACTCCATATAAGGCTAAGATGAACATTCAAGAGTTTTTGACTTTGACTTGAAGTAATGTATAGTTGATCAATAAGTAAGTACACCACACAATGAAATTGCTCCATTAACAAAAGACATGAAAGAGTTATTACCCTTGAGTTCCTTTGTCGATTTCTAAGAACCTCAAGAACACATAACAGAGTTCTTTCCCTCTCAGCATTATAACTATTATCAAGTTTTTAAGCATTGATCTGTTCCTACTTAGTGGCACATTGAATCTTTTTGAATGTTTACCTATTGATAATGATAGCAATTGCTGAATTTAAGCTTAATAAAGCATTACATTACCGAAAACACAAAAACAGAAGATAGTTGATACAGAGTGATTTCCCTTGAATGATTTTTTTTTACAGTAACTTAGCAATATCATTGTTCTAGTCCTTTGTCATCTTTTCTTCTGTTTCTCGTCCTGATTTCATTGGTTGTCTTTGAGTCATTAATGACGCTACATTTGCAAGAGTATTTTAGTATTTTGGTAGAACACAATAGATATAGAAATTGGCCCTTGAATAACATTATTTTTTAAAGAAGTTAGTTCGCTTCTACATTATTTCAACATTGGTCTAGCCATCTTCATCTGATATATGCAATGTCCATGACACTGTTCACCTTCGATAGCAATGGTCATGGTTTCAAGTGTTAAATTCCACAAGTATATTGTGAAAACACAGTGACTGTCCTCGATATCGTAAGATTACCATTGTCTGGCCTAAAATTTTTCTCTCCTTAGAAGCTGTGCAGATATGCCCAGAAAAATAACCAGCCGTGCCCCATACACACTGGCTCTGATTTCTATTATTCTAGTAGACAATCTTAAGTTTTCATTTTCACAATAAAGTTTTGAAACACAGAGTTACTGCCCTTGTGGTTTGTCATGTGTCTGGGAGTCTGATTCCATGGTAACACTTTCCAACGTCTGCACATCTGATGAAACAGTTTGTGGCGAACTAGTAGTTGGAGACATTGTCGTCATCAATTTTCCAACAGTTTGAATCATACTGACACCTTGTCCCGCCACAGGTTGCCCGGGTCCCATGGCTTTTAGAGTAATTCCGGGAGGAGGGGTGATAATTCTGGCATAAACCGGCTGAGCCTTTCCTTTTGGGGAACCACGCCCAGTTGCTTTAGGATTGGTCTGTAGAACTTGTCCTGCCTGTATGACATTACCACCAGGTTGTTGTAAGGTTGGTTGAGAGATGAGAATGGTGGCTTGTCCGGGTTTAATACCACCCTGGGTTGAAAGAACTGTTCTTACCATCTGTATATTCTGTCCTGCCTTCCCGCCCGGGTTACTCACTATTATTGGAGTGCCTGAAAAGATATAATGGTTTATGAAAAGTGAATCTGTTCTGACATAAATTCCTTCATTGCACACTGGATGGCATCAGCAGCAGAAAAGTAGCTGAAAATTGTTATGTCTTGTTTGGACAGAGCACAAATTTGGATTCAAATCTTCAAAATATGATAATACAATTATTATTCCTTTGGTAGAGATATACATCTATGTGAATTTGAAAAATTTACAATTTACACTTCATGTTATGGAGAAAATTCTGTGCTCATTAAGTGAATAGCAGTGGCAGCCGCATCCCCCTTGCAGCCCCGTAAGCAAGTTTTTCCGGCAAAAATCTCATAACTAGGTTAGAGATTCGGTCAATCTCGCCCCCCCCTCGCCACTCTGCCACTGGCGAATAGGGACAAAGTTTAGTAAATACATACCCTGTGTATTCACGGTGTTAACGCTAGCCGAACTAGAAGCAGAAGTCTTGGCACCGATGCCTGGAGATTGTTGTAGAATATATTGTGTTGGTACCAGACCTGCCTGGCTTGCCGCTATAACCTTATTCTGACCAATACCTTGTAAACCTGTAACAATAACAATCAGTTGAAATCAATATTTCTTTTCCATTGATAACATTATGACAGCCTGATCAACGTATTTTGATCCTTGCAAAAATGACCGCAGGCACTTATATCAGTCAGTGTGAACAAAATTTCTCTTATTGGTTGTCACAAGATGTAAATTGGTAAGGACCTCTTCAATCTGAAAAATAGACACATCCTCCCCTCCCACAATATCATACCTTTAATATTTAACTTAAACATTCTTACCTGGTCTAAACGAGATACTGCCAGGTGCTAAATGGGTAACCACTATACCAGCTTGTGATGGGTTGACCACCTTCGCCTGACCCGCCTGTAGTCCAGCAGAATGGCCAGCTGTTGCAGATGTTACAACTGGTTTAGTTTGAGATGCAACTGATGCAGGGATTTGACCTGCTACAGGTTTTCCTCCTGAAAATAGAAATAACTTGAGTATATATGGACATATGGAATCACTACACTAAAACATTTTATGCAAATGATTGTACATGTATAGTGGTTTTGTGAACTGCCAAACTCTAGCAGATGAGTATAACCGGTAGTAGTCTACTTTCAATTTTAGTTGCTCAAAATTATCATGGTCATCATATATTGAATTTTTTAGGAGACATTAAAGATTGGTCAGGCTTTGTAGAAGGTTGAATTTCGTGTTTTAACATGGGAAGAGATGGCAAATGAATTAGTGGAGTGAGTCCATATATATATTAAATTGGTTAGAGAGTAGTCCCTCTTTGATTTCTAATTATACCCCCACTTTATTTCTAACAAACTTCAAATATGGTTTTTATAGCCTCTAGCTATGTAATTTCGTGACATTTGGCCCATTATATGTCGGAATGCACCAAATTAATCAATTTTGGATGTAAAATCATGGGAAGCTTGCACATATGGAATCTCAACCCCAACATTTTATCTATTAAGTCAGTCGTACCCCCATTGGCTTTTCCTAAAATTAAGACTTAAAAAAAAAATTCCACTCACCGACTGCGACTGTAGATTTGGTTTGTGCTTGTGTTAGAGTCCTGACATCACTAGTAACAATCTGGGGTATAGAGATGATCGTCCCCTGGGGTGTCTGTATCAAACCCACAGGCTGACCCTTGCCCCCAATCTGTACCAGACCTTTCTGATGTGACAGGGGTTTCCCTGTCAGTTGGATGGGTTTTCCTCCTCCTACTGGCTGAACTATACCACCTGCAATTCAAATCAAACTTATACTCAATTTCAATTTCTTTATAATAAATAAAGGAATTAACCTCAAAACATAGGACCTTAGAGGTCAGAGGTCACTCTGAAAAAACACCAACATGCACATGATTGCTTTTAATCTTACCCAGCAATGCACAAAAGCACTGAAAATCATAAAAATAATGAAAGAATTAAATAAACAAATTTGATTCCTGTGTTTACTCAAATATTTTACTCATTGCTGACGAAAATTATGATTCAGGGGAGATACGATAAAGACACGAGAAAATTAAACAAATAGGAAGATCCTGCAGCTTACCCTGTATTTTGATGGTGGTTCGTGGAACTTGTGAGCCTGGTATTCTAGGTTGACCAGCTTGAAGGATGTTACCAACTGAGACCATCTGGGCTCCAGACATCTGCTGCACCACTCTGGCCATGACAGGGTTTTCCGACGTCACTGTCGCAGATGAGGGTTGAGTTGATACAGTGGTTGTCGTGAGATTTGAACCCTGACTCAACGCTATTAGTTTGGCAGTTGCAGCACCCCCTGGTGGTGTCGCTGTGCCCGGTATAGGAGCAGACATTTGTCTCTGTAGTATGATCTCTGGTTTGGATGTCTGAGGATTCTGAACTGCTGTTAAAGTCCCTCCTTGAGCTTGCAGCATCTTCAATGCCTGAGCATGGGTCAACATCATCTCCTTATTTGGAGTTGCTACTCTGTTGGCAGCAGCCACCATATTCTGAGCTTGCAGAATCTGAGCTGCCGTAGGAATTCCAGGAGTTGCTGTGACAACAGGCTGCGGACTCTGGGTTGTCACGTTCAGTTTTAAAGATCCTTGTTTTTGGGCATTGGATCTTGGGCTTGTTTTCTGAGATTTCAACTGATTGGCGATGGTAGTTGATCGTTTTGGGCTTTGATGGGCAGCCTGTGAACTGGAGACCGCCTGGGCATGGGCCTGGGCCACCATATCTTCAATGTTTATTTCTGGGGACGCTGTGGTCGATACTGAACCGGAAGTAGAGGATACAGCTGTGGCCTTGGATGCTGCTTGACTGGTGGTGTCCTTCTGGAATGCAGAAAATAGAAATTTAGTAAAATTTCTGAAATTCTGTTTTGTTTTCATTAAACCTTAACTAAGACAGTCCTCAGAACTCTAGTCTGATAGACATAAATAAATAATCCAAGTATTTTAAAACGAAACCTGAAATCCGCAAATAATCCGCAGCTAATGACTTTTCACATGAGGAAGTATATCAATCATAAGTAAGTGAGTAAGCACAAAAATTGAAATACAATCTTTGATAACTAATCTAAAACAAAATGTGACTAACCTTGCTGGACTTGGGTTTCTGTAGAGATTTCTTGGCCTTGGCAGCTGCCAACTGAGCCTGGTGAATTCGATCTGAAGGAAATGTAACAAACATATTGTTTATTGATGGACCAGGGTTAGTATTATAATTATGATGAGTACATTTTGACAATTTTGACTTCCTTGTCGATTGTTTAAAGAGCTCAGCACCCTACTACCCATATTCTCAATTGAACGTTTGAATATTTCTCGATATATTCAATAAGATTTCTGGGACAGTGACATCATATTATGTCCACAATGCGTTAAGAAATGGGTCGAATATCGTCATTATGCACTGTATTTTATAGCCACTGTACGCATTGTTTGTCCACATCATCGGGTACTTTATGACATCAGCTTCTGGCGCCAAAGTTATGACGTCATTTCGTGCGCCTTACTATTCAGTATCTGAGTGTACAAACATAAAATTATCTGTGAATATGAGAATTCAAATCAAGTAATAGAGATATATATGATAATAAAAGTGGGACTATTGTTCTAGAGTTGTCAAGAAAATAACACCTATTTACTGTCATCAATATAGTGCTCTACTTTCCTTGAGTTTAATTTGAGCTTGAAGTGACGATTTCGTGTAATTTTGGGCTTTTAGAAGGCAAGAAAGAAGTATGAAACTCACCAAATTCATCTTCTGACCTGTTCCTGTGTAAATAAATCCAGATCTTTTTATTGACGTCGTATTTTACACATGGATCTTTCTCTGAATGTAGTCTGTCTAGAGCTCCACTTACTACAGTGTTTATCTGTAAATATAGTACAGATTATTGGCCAGTCTAGAGGATGTCAAGGACAAAACAATATTGCATACAATAATGGAATGTTACAGAATGGTATTATATTTTTAACTAAGCAAAATCATTCACCACTATTATTTTGAATGTGATATTTCAGCTCACACAAAAAATAATCAATACAGATTTACTGACTAAAGTACACAAGCATTTTCTCTTTTGAGATGCCACAAAAAAAATTTGGAATGACTTAAAACTAACCTGAGCATCTGTAACACCTGGAGCTAAAAATTGAGAATCTTTGAGAATTTCACAGATATCAGCTCTCGTACCCTCTCCATTAGGTAATCTGGCGGCAGCATCACGTACTGAAACACAAATATCTTAAAATATTTATCACTAGTATGAAAGTTCTTGACTTTGCAGATACAGATTAACTGAAACACATTTATATGGAAAGCCTGAGTTGCTTGGCTCCCAGTCTGTAGACAAAGAAGCTTGGCAACAGTATATGCATGCAGCGTACTGTTAATAGCCAAAATGACACAACGAACATAAACCTCCTGGATATAATTTCAACCTAGGTAACCATGACAGCTTGGCTTACAGGGCAGGCCAGTTACATATAACCAGGCTCTGGCCCTAAGTGAGTGATTGTTATACACTTCTAAAAATATTGAATCCCATTTCAAAATTTCCTTAATTTCATTTCATAGAATTATCCTTTCAATCAGGGAAATGAACAATAAAATTAAAACAAAACATGAAGCACTTGTTAATTGTATACACAAAAAAAACATTAATCTAATTTAAGTGGCAGTATCCCTTTAAAATCCTTGAATAACTATAGTAATTTATCAAACAACTCATATAACCATATTCATAATGAAATAATGTTTGGAATCAAATCAATTCAAATGTACCTTTAAAGTCAAGTCACTATAGTAACTTCTAATATCAAACAACTCAGAAATGAAATGAATGGAGTTTTGCGTCCTACTTTTCAGTTTCTCTTTCTGGGCTAATGAAGACAGCTAACACCATGCAGAGTGCAATGAGAGAAATTTTACTAAGAAAGTGGCATTAACCAGCTCTTTTTCGATTTCCAACCTGCACAGCCTGTAGAACATGGGGCTTCAGTTTATTGTCCCATCCGAACGACTAAATGCTTTTTCCATGTGAGCCCCTCTTACAAACTTACCATATTCAAAATGAAATAATGTTTGAAATAAACTAATCTATTTTAAGTGGTAATGAGCCTTTAAAGTCAAGTCACTATAGTAATTTCTAATTAAATATAGAAATATGAGAGTTCAAATCAAATGTCTAGAGACCTTATTTAAATATACAACATTTTCTTTATTGATATTGTCATATCTATGGCTTAAAGTACCTAGAAATTGACATAGTTTAAAGTTCAACGATTCTGGGCTAGTTTCAATCAATTACATGCAGTGTGCAATGAGGGAAATTTGTCCTAGATAGTCATATCAACCAACTAATTATCGATGTCCAACTACAAAGAAGAATTCAAACTGGTTTTATTTATATATTGTTGATAGATTGTAACTAAGATGAAAAGAAAACTCTGGTAAATGGCTGTCAGATTAACTGATAATATTATTATGTTTTACAACTAATTTACAATTTTGTAGAACTAAAACTCTGGTAAAAAGGACAATATATCCCTTTAAATAAGTTGAATTTTGACTGTTGACATTGAAATCATGTCTATGTTGTTAACATTAAAGGTATTCAATATCAAATCAAATGTACTTTAAATAGTTCTCATTAACCAGAACAGCTCAGTCTTCCAGTTATTCAACTGTTATTCCTTGTTGAAGAAAAAGCCTCGAGCATTAATATTAAAAAAGTATTAATAACTGGACACAATTATATGGATAACAACTACTTTAATAAATTATAAATTGTATTGCTTGATAAAGACGGAAGCATCATCGTCGAAACGTCACAAGTTATTTATTAAAGTAATTGTTATTTATATAATTGTGTCCAGTTATACTTACTCTAGTTACTAAATGCCACTCAAGGAAGTTAAAAAAAATATATTAATACTTTTCTCTTTAAGGGAAATATCTCTACATGACAGATGTGAATCTTTAAAAAGGGCAATACATATAATGCATTTTAAAAAAAGACAAAAAAAAACAAAACAAGTGCCCCTCTTTAAAAAGATCAAAGATTATAAATACAATGTAAATAAAAAAAATAACAAAAAAAAAAACAGGATTGCTCCTTTAAAAAGATCAAAGAATATAATTGTAAAATAAAATGGTATGATATTAGATTATATTGTATAGACCACTGAGATTTACAGGGTAGAATATTGTTCTCATTTCAATAGACATACTTCATTAATAAACTACATAATCTACAGACTGACGACAATATAGTACAATACAGCACACAACTGTTAGCCAGAAATGCTACATTTCAGCAACTAGGACATGGCTGTATGATTTACAACTATATTTCAGCAACTAGGACATGGCTGTCTGATTAACAACTATATTTCAACAACTAGGACATGGCTGTCTGATTAACAACTATATTTCAACAACTAGGACATGGCTGTCTGATTAACAACTATATTTCAGCAACTAGGACATGGCTGTCTGATTAACAACTATATTACAACAACTAGGACATGGCTGTCTGATTAACAACTATATTTCAGCAACTAGGACATGGCTGTCTGATTAACAACTATATTTCAGCAACTAGGACATGGCTGTCTGATTAACAACTATATTTTAGCAACTAGGACATGGGTGTCTGATTAACAACTATATTTCAGCAACTAGGACATGGCTGTCTGATTTACATTGTCAATTGACTACATTTCAGCAACTAAGACATGGCTGTTTGATTTTCATAGTGAATTGACTATTAAAGGGATATCATTTTTAAAATATTCATTTCAATCCTTTGGTCTAGTTTTCATTGTGAATTAATATTTAAATGGATATAGTTTTAAGTTATTCAGCTTTATTTTACGTTTTTTATGAAGATCCGAAAATCTAGTTCTGGCACAAGACAGCTTGTGAATTTAAAATTTTGTTTAGTTTAATTTGTGAATGTAACACAGGGATAATTTAAAATGTTCTGGTCCAAGAAGAATTGGATATAAAATTATTGGTGGAATATTTACAGTATAATAATCAATACAGAGAAATATAAAGACTGAAATAGTGAACTAGTGTGCAAAAATATTAATCATAAAAGGAATAGATTGTGAAGGTACAATAGTGAGGTGTTGATTACTGAAATCTGTAGAACTTTTGTTGTGAGAAGATGGGGAGCACAGTTAAATAAAGATGAAAATATAAATCAAACACAAGATAGAAATCAGTATTAAAGATTCCCAAACTTCATGAAGAAAAAAATTGTGAAAATTAGAGTTAATTTGACATACTTTATACTTTTTATTGAGTAATTTCAGGCTGACTCTAGAAAGCACTGGTACAGGCATCACAAGTTTTCTTACCTAGCAGACATCAATCCAACTCGCTACCGACTGAGCTATTCCCCTGCTCAAAAAGACAGTGTTTGAAGCCAGTGTTAGAGGGAAGTATTGACATTTACACAGTTTGAAAGTTGTTAACCCCTCAAGGAGATATTCATAAAGCCTGGCACGGCAAGGATAGGTATGTTACAGTTCCGAATTTCACCTTCAGACTCTTCGCAATGTTTAAATATATTGGTTTAAATCTGACATCTCAGATCTTTAATTTTAAAAATTTCTTCACAATGTGTTTTTATTTTAATATGATCCAGCTAACTATAATCAATGATAAATATCTATATGACAGAATGGTGTTAGTATATTGTGTTATATTATCACTATATCTAGCTAGATATTTCAAGTGTTATTATTGAATCATAATAAATTATTCTATAACTTTATAACCATCATAAAAATCTTCTATCAAACTCTCATGACTTATTTTCAACAAAATACAAACAGACTTTAAATACCAACGGTAAAGGTGTCATCCAGCAAGAAACAGTAAAATATTTTCATTAAAAAAAAATAATAATTTCTGGCTTGTGATCACTCTTTAAGTTCCACAGAATTGCTGATGTCCATACTGTACTGTTGGACTGTCAGTTGGTTTCTCATTTACCAGTAGATTATGTGCCTAGGTTTAAAAAAACCTCATGATAAATCTGTCTGGAGTTTCATTTTTTCATAATTTCACAATGACAAATTCTTATCAAAATTAAGTTAAGTCCTTCTTAAGACAAGAGTAATTTTTTTCGTGAAATGGGGTCTAAATATCAGTGGGAAACAGTGTTTAACTAAGGGTGTTAAATAATATTTAAACTATTAACACTAAACAGATTGGAGAATATAATACAAGGAGGTAATATCAGCTAATCAACCATATAATATAATATATCATATCATTACTAATATAACTAGACTATAGTCATAGGATAGCCTGGGTACAGTATGGTAGGTAGGTTATTCATTGTATTATTGCTGAATATGGGTGCAGGGGAAGGGGATACAGGGGGAGGGCAGGGAGCAAGGACAGGGGGCAAGGACATATATATCATTACTAATAACACTAGACTATAGTCATAGGATAGCCTGGGTACAGTAAGGTAGGTAGAATATTTATTGTATTATTGTTGGATAGGGGATACAGGGAGGGGGGGGGGGGGACAGGGAGCAAGGACATATATATCATTACTTATATAACTAGACTATAGTCATAGGATAGCCTCGGTACAGTATGGTAGGTAGGATATTTATCATATTATTGTTGGATAGGGGATACAGTGGGGAGGGGATACAGTGGAGCAAGGACAGGGAGCAAGGACATATATATCATTACTAATATAACTGGACTATATTCATATGATAGCTGTATACAGTAAGATAGGTAGGATATTTATTATATTATTGTTGGATAAGGAATACAGGAAGCAAGGACAGGGAGCTAGGACAGGGAGCTAGGACAGGGGGCAAGGACAGGGGGCAAGGACAGGGGGGCAAGGAAAGGTATATAATTACTTATATAACTAGACTATAGTCATAGGATAGCTGTATACAGTATAGAAGGTAGGACATTTAATGTATTATTATAGAGGGGCCGGGGATAGAGTGAGAGGGGATAGATGGGCAGGGCATAGAAGGGGCAAGGGTGATGTAAGTGAGGGTGAGGAAAGGATTGTAATAGGATAGTCTTGTAAGTGTTGAATTGTTCTTGTATAGATTAGGGTTACGGGGAGGTGATACAAGGGGAAGGTGATACAAGGGGAAGGGGATAGAAGGGGAAGGGGATAGAAGGAGGGCAATATTTATTGTTTGTAGGATTGTTGACGGGGAACTTATACA